GGAGATTAAATGGTAATTGCCACTTTTCGCCCCAGATAGTTAGGTTATTGAGATCATCTTGAATCAGGGGTACACTTTCACTTAGAACCTCAGGCTTATAGCTGTATACTATTTTGAGATCATCAGCATATAAGTGTGGTTTCCCAGATTTTATGATGTTACATATATCGTTTATATACATGAGAAACAAAAGTGGGCCTAATACACTTCCCTGGATGACGCCACTAGTTATTGGTCTAGGTAATGAGAGACAGTCGTTGTACTTTACCATTTGTTTACGTCCCTTTAAGAATGAGACAAACCATGAATAGAGTGGGTTGTTGATTCCGAAGGACCGTAGTTTGGCTAGTAGCCGTTTGTGTGGAACCTTATCGAAAGCTTTCTTAAAGTCTAAAAATATGACTGATACAAGGAGTCCATTGTCTCGTTTCAGAGTTATATCATGCATGTAGTCCACTAGGCATGTATCACATGATCTGGACCTAAGAAATCCATGTTGGGAGACCGAGATGAGATTATTAGTAATTACATGTTGGACTAACGCCGCCTTAACTACTTTCTCCATCACTCTAGACACCACTGAAGTTATGTTTATGGGTCGGTAATTTTCAACATTTGCTTCAGGTCCTGTTTTAATTTTGGGAATGATGTGTGTAGATTTCCAGGCAGTAGGGTAATGTGCTGTAGAGAGTGATATCGCAAATAGTTTGAGTAATAAAACACACATATCATCGCCTCCATGTTTTAGCATGCTAGCCGGAATACCATCTGGTCCATCAGTGTAGGAGTGTTTAAATGTACCAATTGCCTTAGAGATATTCTGTACATTGAAGTCTACGTTAGTAATCTCACAGGCAGATGCCGTGATAAGTTCTGAATAATTAAGTGGTTTTTCATCAGTTAATGAGGAACAAAAGTGTTCATTAGATTGTTCCGTAACAAGTTTAGGATCTTCGTATACTTGTTTGTCTTTAACAAATATGTTTCCTCTCAACTTAGAACGTTTAAGTTTATTTTGAAAGAGTGTGGTGAGTGCTGAGGAGTTATTACTAAGTTCTACAGCACGTTTTTCCTGTTCGATTGCTTTTTGTGTACTTATTGCGTCTGTTTGGACAAGTATTTCTGTCATCGTTACTAAAGAGGAGAAATCATTAGAGTTGTAGAAGCGAGTACAATGTCTCTGCAGATGTCTTCGTGTACCGACCGGTATAAACAGATCTTTAGAAAACTTAGGTCTCCAGTACTCTAAAGGTGCGATTTTGTTTATGATACTTTCGATGTTGTGATAAAATATATTGGTTAGTGTGTCGGTATTGTTTGCAGTAGAGAATGTTCCACAGTCAGTGCTTCTTAAGTAATTGCGAAAATTATTCCAATCGACCTTGCGATAGTTTTTACGAAGGGTTACATTTTTTATAAAATAAACCGGTAGCACCATGATTAGAGTGAAAGGGTAAACTGCTATTATTATACTGACTTTGTACACTGAAGCATACTGGTTTCCAAGCCATCTTTCGTTTGCGGTTTGATGTCAAACGGTACATAACAGCTTGATTTCAGAAGATTCACAGCCATTATTATGACAAAAAATATCTGGCATGTGATATGTGATTCAGGAGGTTAAGTAATAGTCAGTTGTAAGTTGCCATACAGATGATGACTAGTGAGAGTGATCCTGAGCAGAATGCCTAATTTGTGGAGACTTACATTCAATATTTCCAGAATTCTGCAGTAATGAAGCGAACAAGCAGTTTAAGATTATTGTGATGTCCAACAACCTAGACATTCCAGCTTTACTCTTTTTAAATTATATTTTTCAATATAAACCTTTCCATATCAGCTGTCAGTAAGAATTGAAACACTATTATTTCCATAACACTCACAGTAGCAATATGACTATTTCCCACACAGTAAATCCATTTTTTTCTTCCAAACTGACATCTATGTCCTATTGGATGTACTTTCTTAGTTAGTATCCCCATTCTATATTTCAAGTAATTGATGGAGGTAAATCACCATTGAGTATCTGCTGCATATTATTATTTACTCCCATTTTCTAATCGTTGTTGTCCAACTGTGAAAATTAAAAGTTTTATATTGTATTCAGTAAGCACACACTTACTTTCCACGAAAGTGACAAGGGTCGCGACATCTCTGACGGGGCTGTCATCGTGTGTTCACTAGGGAGCTAAGCAAGCATGTGGACCAGTGCAAGGTACTAAACAGGTTTCCCTTGTTACTAGCATTTCATCAGGTATTTTCAAGGCATTGTGCGCATATCATAAGACATCCGAATTCGCAACTGTGAAATATTATACAGAGTTCTATAATGCGTGTACATCCACTGACAACTGTAAGGCTCCATGATTTCTAATATATGTTGTAAAAACGCTGAGTACATGAACCTGTTTCGTTTGACAATGCTCATACGGACCCGGGTCTGTAATTTCTTTACGAAAAGATAAATATTCCTTAACAACTTTTAAGTGCCACTTATTATTTACGAACTAGGTGCCAAAATGTTCGTATCTTACGGATTTCTTACAATGGCTAACTTATCAAGTCAAGATAGAGTCAGATTTACAAATTTATTCAGGAACAATTTCATTGATGAAGAAATATCAAATAAATATTAACATCAGCTTTCTATCAACAACTTTCACATTGTAATACGAAGTTGTTGTTTATGGTATTTTTTTCTGAAATTAAAGGACAAAACAAGTATTTTACAACTAGTGTAAAGACGTCAGAGGTATTCGGAGTTTAACGACACCTTTATGATCGAAGAATATGAACCCAGTCCAATCATAAGTCAAAGGTAAAGACGTTCAAAAACATATTTGAAAAGCTATCAATACATTGAGAAGCGTTTGGTCTAAGCTGAATAGCTTTTGCCAGGGACGCTTAGCACGGTGTACTCACTCGTGGTCTGATACGGATGCGTGATCAAGAGCCTTCGGTTGGGTGTATCTAATGAAAATGCCAAGGTTACAATAACTGTCGAAGACTTACGGAGCTATTTATTCTAGGGCTTCGTTAGCCGCTACAAGTGGAAGTGGTTGTGAAACAAAAGTTAATATTCAGCCTGCCATCTAAAACTGTGGAGAAGGTGACGTTGGTACTGCCTTCCGTAAACAGTTCAACAGTCACATGACTTGACCGGCGAAACAGTTTTCAAAGTATTCGTTCAAAGCTACTATCTCATTCACGATAAAAAATTATTGATGGCTTTCGTCAACAATATGGAGTTATCAGCAAAAAAATTTCACCAAGTTTCTCTTACTATTCTCCTAACACTAATAGATAAAAGATCAGTGAACGTACATATGTGCGTGAAATAAGTAGACAGGTTGGTTAAATTAGTGTTTCTAAGCAAAGAAGAATTTACACAACCGTGATCTACCAACTTCTTAGTGCATATTAGTTAAATATTAGGTCAGCACCGACAACCTATGCAAGGCATAGTATGTGCTAAATACCCTAATAAACAGCCATTATTCCTTTGTTTCCACTTATGTATTCTAATGCACTTGCATCTCGTTTCACAGCAAGATATACAAAGATTTTTGTCGTCTGATGTAATAACGCCACCTGTAGCTAAACAGATTTTCAATGTTGGTCCACAACCAATTGCACTTAATTAAGACGTATCACATCCCAATTTCAGGACTACAGAATCTTATACTGATGGTTTTCTGGTTTGGAGGCTTAAGCACGCTCACGGAAATAAAAGTTTCAGCGATTCTAGTTACTGGACTTGTGAATTTATCACCCCCTTCAAGTACTGTTATAATGTTAACTAAACTGAATTATACGACAACCAGGTAAGCGAAACTAAGGAGATATCGTGATTATTGCTTTGTTTGAACAGAAATAGCACTTAAAATAGTTGTCCATAAATAATTAGACCTTATACCCCTAATTCTAACTATAGGCTAACAACAAAATTTTTTTTAACAGACTAATATGAATTACCTAAAAGAAGAACGATATTATTTCAAGACTGAAAACTGCAGTCAATAATGCATTAAAACGCGGTTAGCAGCACAACTTCCAGAAATAATCCCTTCTCTATCATTCCCTGACCGTCCGTTTTAAAACAACTACGACCATTATTAAGCCTTCTATGACTTAGCACACCAACCCACCATGTAGTGCACGTGTCCGGTGTAACGCAGTCTGGCACGGTGGATAAGAATCGCAATCACAGCGAAATTCACAGCATTATCTACTTTTTTTTAACAAAAATTACACCACTATATAGCAAATTCATTGACTACGTGGATATGAACATGACCATTATTACTGTCTACGGTACAGGTAACGTGAAAAAATAGAGTATAACTCCACTCGTCAACTCGAAGTACATTTTAAATGCAAGCTCAAAGTATTTTAATCGGAAAACTGAAAAGGTGTGATCTTTGACCTTCGAACTGAGCATAGTTTCATGATTCTACGTCTCTCAGAATAAAATGTCATCTATAGTTCTATAACACAGCGTCTGCTAGATACCGAACTTAAATATGACACTGTGGAAACACTTTAATCAGTCAGTGAATGGTCTCTTTTACTCGACAAGAGTTCGGTGAAGGCATAACAGGCGAAAGGCTTTAAACTGACCTTATTACCAGTAAAGTGTCAGCACTAAACTTCGGCTGCCCTAGTAAAAGAAACAATTTAACCACTTTGATCCTTTTTTTCATCTATCTGTGATTAACGAATATTGGGCACAACCTGAAAATTTCTTTTTCGTTCCTTAGCTTCCTTCATTTTTTATCATATTTTATAACAATTTAATTCCATGTATTCTAGCATAGTAACCTTCCATAGTTATAAAAACCTATCAACACTGAAGTTTTAGACTATTTCTTGACCACATCGCCATCATATAGATGTGGAAAAATTTATTTAATTCTGTAGACTAATGTATTCAAAACAAAGAACCACAACTTATCTGATGCCGTTTACAAAATATTTGTTATTGAATAAGTTTCACAACCGTGCATACTTCAAAACCTCAAGGCTGTGTGGTAATGCGTAGTGCTTTCGATTTTGCTAAATTTATTTACTAATCTCTGCATTAACATCATGTCAAAATTGCTGGTACTGATACTTTATCCTCCATGTTTTCTGCCAAGCTTGTAGAATTCCTCACCATATACGACATACGAACTAGTTTTTCCACTCAAAATAATTCAGTTCGACGTATTTCTTCCGTTTTTTCGTAGTGAAAATTAATCATTTGTTATCTAACATTGTCTACATTCACCATAGTCACTTTTAAAACGTCAAACAAATTGACCATAGTGGAATTTAAAACATATACGACGATTATTTTGTCAAATAAAATCCTAGTAGTCGTACTGTATCCAATAGAACTTGTTTCATTAACAGTACAAAAGCCTCCATCTCATGTGTAATTGAAATCTCCAACACAATAAATATCCTGATTCGTACGTGCTCACCATCAATTTGTCCATACTGTTCGTCGGGATTGCTCTAAATGTCTGACCCCTGCAGATATTAATACTGATAAATTAACTCATAATCACTGTTGTACTGTGATACGTTATAAATTTGACCGTAAACCATTGGTGTTGAGCTTTTTTGATTCATGTGTGTGACTAAACCTTAATTTTTACTGTAACTTCAACGAATGTTGCTCTTTCAATTGCTCAAAAATCGATACTTAGATGTAAAAAATATCATAAATCTTGGGCGTGTCTTTCAAAAATAAAGCTTTTTTTATCATTTCTTAACGACGAAAATGTGTTCGTAGACATTATCTTGCCGAGGCTTCTGGAATGGTATTTAGTTAAGCGTCCAAATATTTGGTCACTACTAAATCATTTTTAAACTTGCAATTATTTTCACTCCTGGCAGAAGCATTGCAAAATTTAGCCGAGTATTTAACAATGTAAACTAACGAAAAAGACCAAGACTACGATTTTAGCAGAATCCGGAAAAAACCCATAGGACTTACTACAACGGGTACATAAAGAAACAGCACTAGTTGAATCTCTCACAAAAGACTGATGTAAACAAAAAGATTTCTTTTTGAGTCTTACCGTCTGGGCTCAATTTTTTTTATTATCGTTGACGCTGTTGCTACATCTACTATTTCAAGATTCGACCTGAAAACTCCACTTCTCTGTGCTAACGGTGTGTCGTGACTTGAACCGATGTACATATGTACGGGTTCTACGGTATGACTGACCGACTGAAATAAAATATTAGAATTTGGTTAAATGAATTAAGGTTTATCCATCTGTAAACGATTACATGAACTTTCCAACCCCGACGTTAGATTTGGGACAGATTCACCAAGTGTCGTAGAACGTCCGGGTTCCATATTCATTTATAAGGCATTCTAAACTTAATCTTACGCCACAGGATATCGTACTTATACGTTAAAAATGTTACGTCAGAGATACTCTGCGTTCAAATTATTTCATATTGTGTAGCTAAATGTTCTGTTTTAAACACTTTATTAGTTCATTAACTCAAATTTCATAGCATCTTTCTTTTCAGTTCTTAACTTACACTTATTTACCTTTCAGATGATGAGCATTTGAAAACTAATGGATGAAAATTTAGAAAATTTCTCTAATGCTGACTTCGATGCTAGATTGTTCGTCTCTTACATCATTGGTACTAATAAAGTTTCAAACGTTCTATGTACGATAGATAATCGAATAAGAGAGTAAGTAGATACATAATAAATTATTTAGTTTTATATAACTCAAAATGTATTATGTCTACTCTTAATAAAACTTTCGGAAATGAAAAAGCTACTTGGTTTAATTATCGCAAAGGTAGATTTAACAATTTGTTCAGAAGTGGTCTAAGAGACTGTATAAACATATCCTTGAAAGATGCCGATAAATTTTTACATCATCTGATTGTGTAGTTAATGCAACCATTTCATCATATTTTCTGAACTATAGGAAATGCCATCCAACGTTTTAGTGACTTAGAAAACCGATAAACTATAGTTTTTGATTTCTTCGAAAAAAACATGTTTTAATACAAATATTTACATTTTCTGTGAAACAGTTGGACACGAAATCCAACAGTATAATTAAGATGTTTGAATTGCTTTATCATATGAACTCACAGCCTCGTTCGATTTTAACGAGGCTCAAATAACTTCTGAATATTCGTCTTTATTGTTGTGACACTAATTGAAAATGAAACTTCCCAGCTTAATCTATTTGTGTCCTTCTAAAGTGTTGCGTGTACAGTAAAATTCAAATCACGCCCACCACATACTCCAGTTTTTGTTATATTGTTAGCTTGCCTCTTAAAACTGCTCTAAAATGGCTTTACCAGTTAATAAGTAGATTTTTATTAAATTACATCATATTTGGAATTTATGCTTAACTGTTGTTAAAGGACCTCTGCATTTTAATGTAAATCTGAATTTAATGACCTTTCAGAGTGCTTAGATTGAGTACAAAACAACGAAACCATTAAACTGAGTATTTTTAGAAATTTTCATTTCGTTTAAACCTGAAACAGCAACTTTAAATAGAAATTATCAGGATTAAGTGATTTCCAGTTTTCTGATGCCACTATTTTGACTCACTGTGAATCGAACCGTTTGTAGGCTAATACTCTGCCCGTAGTGTTGAGAAACGTTTTTTTGTAAGATAGTCCCATTTTAAAAGTTGTGAATTTTAACTGTCAATAGATATCTGTCAGCACAAAACTAAGTTTTGAGGTTTCTTGTTAATTTTATTTCATAGGGAATTAGAATTTTGCGGTTCAATAATATGAACACTTCCTGAACACTCCAATTCCACCAGGTTAAAATAGTTAAAATACGACTTTTGGGATCTTCATACTATACTTATAAAGTAGTCCGTCACGAGTAATTGTCCTTGAATCCTTGACGTTTCTTAAATACAGTAATCTTTTTCATTTTTTTTTTCAAAAAATCAGTGTATCGATATTCCATTCTAGAACGCGCAAAATTTCATTTTATTCATATCACTTCATTTATGACACTTCGATTGTGTAAAGCTTGTTTAAATATAAAAATTGGTATGTAAATGCGATCACTATTTGTGAAATTAAATTATTTCATTCTTGTTCTTTCCTAAACAAGTTTTGTCACTTTTCTTTTTGAACTTATGTGCGCATTATGTTGCTTATTTTTTTATTATTCACAGGTTAGCTACTCTGATTTATCAGCATGTAGCTGATAACCACATCGATCTGTTTAAAAGAGCCTCTGGCATTGATAATTTGCAAAATGTTTTGCAGGCAGTTGAAGATAAAATACGAAACTTGTCAATTTCTTTATCAAAAGTTAAGAAGAAGATAGATACTCCACATGAAACGTTATCTACAAATGTAACTCATTTTAAAAATCTACACACTACTTGTGCTGTTCTTCGTAATATATCTCGAATAGCAACACTAATGAAACGAATTCAAAGTGAGTATTTTACTCTTCGTATAACATTATCATTATCACCATTATCTTAAAATAGGTAGGTCTAAAGATTTATGTCAATGTGCAATGTATGTGAATGAGTTAGACTTCATTTTTAATAATATGGAATGGGAAGGAATTCATGTATTGGAGTCCTATAATCGCGCATTAGTTCAAGTTCGAGAGAGTATGGTGTCACAAGCATGGAGCCTAATCAATTCATCTTATGAGTTGTCAGATCAAACTCAATTAGCTACAGGGTTACAGGTAAGTTGTTTCTTTCTTTTGTTCCCCCTTATTATATTAACTTTTTTAAGCAAATATGAAAGGTTAGTACGTAAGTTTAACGATCCCTAAATACAACAACATAGCCACACCTGGTATTAGGTCAGTCCAACAGGTCCCATTTTGTAGTGTTTTTTTTTAGCTTACAATACAATTTTCACGTCAGATTCCATTGAAAATGGTGTTGTTTGTGTTAGTAGACATTACTATGCAGTATCTTGCATTTTAGATTAGATTCTATATGGTGAGTAAGAGGGTCTTTATCTTAATATTCAACAAAACATGATTTCTACTTCCATACTTTAACAATCTTTCTGTTGAGTTGCTGACAACAGCTATCCATAGTTAAACGTTTTAGTATATCCTTATTAGTAATAGTGTTGAGTTTTCAACCCCCGAATGCCCTGGTACGGCCGAGAGTGGGGAGAGTCTGCTCTCCCTCTCCAAATGCTCTCATATGGCCACGCGAATATATAGCCTCTGCTAGGGAAGTCCTACTCACTGACTTCTCGTGGCGGGGTTGTTGTTCACAAAATTGAGAGGACGAAAAGCGAATGTCCGGCGCTTTAACCGGGTCGGTGGATGTGGAGGATCCACCTAGGGGAGTTGGAAAACCCTGATTCCAAACCAATGGTGCACATGGGCTCCAGTATCCTGAAGGAACGAATGGCGTATGAACCAACTGTTGGTCACCGGCTACCATAGGACTGCATCTCCTTACGATGCTCCACTGCCTTGTGGACTAGACCTTTAGGTCAAAGGCTCGGGGTGTGGCCCCCTAAGGAAACCACCTGCTTCCGTTTTGGCACCTGAGCAGTATCACAGCCCTCACACAAATCGAATGAGATTTGTGAGGCGCATATTTATCTGGTGCTTCCTTGTACCAATATTTATGTGTTTAAATAAAATAAATAAATAATAAAGTTTTCAATGTATACTTTCAAAAAATAACTTATTCAGTGTGTTAATAATTTTACTATTATCTCGCTTTCCTTAAAGGATAAACTAATCTAACGATATGTGGTTATATGTCATTGACTTAACCATTAGTTCGTTAGTCGTATTCGGATAAGCTGAAAGAATTCTAACAAACATATTGTTTGCGAAAGACTCGTTTACGTTTCTCTACAAAACTTTGTATTTCAATCATCACGATAAAACTGTTGATTTAAATATATTGTTTACTTTTTATTATCCATTGATTTACTATGGGCTTATTTTCAATTTAAAGTCGCATTAAAGCTTCAGTCCAGTTCCATTTTGAAATGTAATGCTTTAAGCTTTACACGCTATAGCTCTTACTTACAGTGTATACAATATAACTTTGTTGATTTTTGTTTAAACTTATCTAAACGTTTTACGATTTGCTTTTCGAAAAACAAGTATTCTGTTATGAGAAAATAGTATTTGCTAGGATCCACAAAAGAAATTACTATTTTTAACAATAAACTTTAAGTAGTGAAGTCCAGGAAAATATCCGATCATCCTGATGGGAGATCTAAACGCCAAAGTCTGAATGAACAAAACTGTGTATGAAGATATCATGAGACAACATGGACTGGAGTAATTAGAAGAGAGAAACGAGAATGGCGAGAGATTCGCAAATCTATGTGCATTCAACAAATTTGTTATAGATGAAAATATTCCCATACAAAAGCATTCACAAAGCTAGGTGGGTCCAACCGGATCACACTACAGAGAATCAGATCGACCATATTTGCATCATTAGAAAATTCAGAAGATCGGTGAAGAACATGAGAACCAAAAGAAGAGATGACATAACTTCAGGTCACCACTTGCTGGCTGCCAAGATTAAACTAAAGCTGAAGAAGCACTAGACAAAAGGACAAACAGCATTAAAAGTACTCAATACAGCCTTCCTTCGACATACTGACAAACTCAATGAGTTCAGGATAACTCAACAATAGGTTCATAGCATTATAGGATTTAACTTCAACGTGTCAGGAAGTTCTGGGTCGCAAGTAGCATCATCATAAGAAACGGATCTCTATCGAAACCCTAATCAAGATTGAAGAAAGGAAGAATAACAATTAACAACAGCCGAACAAGAGCAGAGAAAGTCAAAGCACAAAATGAGTACATTGAAGCAAACAAGCAAGTGAAAAGCATTAGAGATGACAAGTAGAAATACGTGGAAGATCTAACAACGACAATGGGAAAGGCTGTAAAAGAAGGAAATATGAGACAACTATATGATACAACGGAGAAACTGGTAGAGAAATATATTAAATCGGATAGACCAATCAAGGACAAAGAAGGTAATCCGATAACTAGAATTCGAGAAAAGAGAAATAGATGGTAGAACACTGACAAACGTTTGAATAGACCAGCTCCATTGAATCCAACAAACATCGAAGTGGCACCTACAGATCTTTCTATAAATGTCACTCCACCAACAATCGAAGAAATCAGAAAAGCTATCAGACAAATTAAGACCGCGAAAGTAACAGAACCTGACAACATACCAGCTGGAGCACTGAAATCAAACATAGAAGTAACTGCAAACATGCTCCACGTTCTATTCAGGAAGATTTGTGAAGAAGAACAAGTTGCACTGATAGACTGGAAAGAGGGACACTTCATCAAAATACCAAAGAAAGGAGATCGGAGTAAGTGTGAGAACTACAGATGCATCACACTACTATCGGTACCAGGAAACGTTTTCAACAGAGTGTTGCTGAACCAGATGAAAGATTCAGTAGACGCCCAACTTCGAGATCAACAGACCGGATTCCGTAAGGATCTGTCGAGCACAGACCAAATTGCGACACTAGGGATAATCGTTAAACAATCAGTTGAACGGAATTCATCACTGTGCATCAACGTCCTTGTCTGTGAAAAGACATCTGATAGTGTAAACAGGAGGAGCTTATGGAGCCTCCTTCAAAACCACAGTGTACCTGAGAAGATCTTCAACACTATCCGGAACTCGTGCAACTGACTACACTAAAATGTCGTGCATGGAGGACAGCTGTCGGATGTATTCCAGGTGAGGACCGGTGTCAGACAAAGTTGCTTATTGTCACCCTTTGTATTTCCTCTCATGGTTGACTGGATTACGAAGACTTCCACATCTGAGGGGAAACACACAATACAGTAAACCGCTTGGATGCAACTAGACGATTTGGACTTCGCATATGACCCAGCTCTTCTATCCCATGCACACCAAAAAATCTAGGTGAAAGCGGCTAGTGTAGCACCAGTCTCTGTATCAGTATGTCACAACATACACAAGGGACAAACCACGATCCTGAAATAAAACATAGCGAGCACCAACCCAATCACACTTGATGGAGAAGCTCTGGAAAAGGTGGAAACTCTCACCCACCTAGTGAGCATCATCGATGAACAAAGAGGATCTGATGCAGACATAAAAGCAAGTATTGGCAAAACAAGGGCCTCATTCCTATAGTTGAAGAACATATGGAACTCAAAACAACTGTTTACCAACATCGAAGTCAGAATCTTCAATACGAACGGTTAATTCTACTGTACGGAGCTGAAACTTGGAGAACTACCACAACCATCATCAAAAAGTGCATGTATTTATCAATAATTGTCTACGTAAGATACTGAATGTTCGTTGACCGTATACCGTCAGCAACAGCCTACTATGGGAGAGGACAAACCAGCTACCATCTAGACAGGAAATTAGAAAACGACGATAGAGGTGGACAGGGCACACGTTGAGGAAATCATTAAATTGCATCACGAGGCAAGCGCTAACTCGGAATCCTGAATGGAAATGGAAAAGAGGAAGACCAAGGAACGCATTGCGTCGGTAATTGGAAGCGGACATGAAAAGGATAGATAGCAACTGGAAAAGATTGCCCAGGACGGAGTTCGATGGAAAATGTTTGTTGACGGCCTATGCTACTTCACGAAGATTAAGAGGCATAATTAAGTTAGATAAATTATAACTTGGGACATATCGACCGTCAAAAAACTGACTTTACACGGAAGATATATATGTATATAGCCACATATAATGTTTCTGAAAAACGCTAATTTCAAGAGGAACATTAGTTATGTAAAGCTTGTTGCCATTGAAAAGCTGTTATTTTTTAAATGTGTTTAGAAAGGTATATACTCACAGGCAATTTGAATAAAAATTCCTATTTTGTCTGGACAGTTTTAATCCAGTTTTTTTCCACGGGTTTCGAAATTATCTGAAAAACCACTGAAAAATATTTAGGAGTACTGATTACACCTTTTAGGCTTTAATTTGCGATTCTTTAATATTGTAAAACAGAAAAAAATTCTAGCCTTAACCCTTAGATTTTGTCTTATCTACCATAATACCACTTAACAGTAAAGTTGGGATTTGATGGTTCATATTTCTGACTTTAGTCAATTGGAAATATAGCTCGATCTTCCTCATCCATTATCATCAATTGTAAAGCGATAGCTCAGTGGTTAAGGTACTCGACTTTCTCACACAAGGTCTCAGGTCAGAACCCCGCTCTGTCTTGGTTTAGGCGATTGCCTTGTATCGTTAGCCCTCACACCTAAAGTGTGGTTCATTACCCAAGTAGCTAGTGAATCAGTTTATTAAAATTAATTAAATTATCATCGATGAGTTATTGTCTCATACATGAATACTTAGTTGATGTCATAGACGATGTCCTCTCACTACAATCGTAATAGGTTCATCACTAGTGTTGACCACATGATTATTATTAAGTCAAATGATTTCTTCGGGAATTTTGCATAGTACGAATTTCATCACAAACTGACATTTGATGTCCAGTTGCTTCTTGAGCTTAAATGATAGTTTCTTTCTATATTCCAACACTATACTGTCAATTCATATTTGTTATCTTTAACATTTACCATCTTTTTTGTTAAACTTTGTACTGTCATTTAGGTTTTCTACCATTTAAATATGTTAATGGATGTAATTCATGAACTGGTGACTAAATGGAAATCGGAGTTTGTTTCTGTACTATCCTCCTCTGTTGACATAGATTCTTTAACTCAACGTATGCGAACACGTCAAAAAATTCAACAAGGAGGTTCTGGTCCAGGTAAATTCTAGATCCTCTTTAAGATTTATTAGAATACAGTTATTTTATTCTAGCCATTGAATTTACCAACATATCGATTATATGATAGAATATAATTCTATAAAGGCAATATTATTTTTATCATGAATTTATTATTTCATTAAACTTATTCTTAAATTTACAAAATATATTCATTTTGATATACACTAGTAAATATGAATTTTACAAAGCAATGATTTTCGCAACAGATTTATTCTTAACCTCTAGAGTAGTCAAGTTTATTAATAAGGCTAAACCAACGACCATCTTTACCATAGCAATCATGGCTAATTAAGTAAAAAGTTCGACATATTTCCTAATGTAAAGTGAAATCAATAAAATGCATCAAAACATCAAGTAGGAGGAGGAAATGTCCAATAATACTCAAGGTATATTGCTTTGGAGTAAGTGATATAGAAATATAAAATTGTAATTTATGGTATATGAATCTGAAGACTTTATCTGAGTCCTTCTGTGATTGGTTAATGAGTGGAGAGTAACATAATCGGATACATCAGTCTCTAGTTTGGATCAAACTTAATGATACCACTTATATAAATTTAATTGACCGAATGTGATCAACATTCAGAAACAGGAAATTTTCCGAATGTCATTGACAAACGTGTTTAGTATAAATTGCAATCTAGGTAACATCGCGTGTTTTTGTATTGATTAACCTAAATAATATCATTTCCTGTTGTGTTCTTTTTCTAGGTAGAGCATCATTATCAGCAGTCGGTGGTCAAGCGGCTGCTTTTCATGTTGCTATATGGACTAGTTTAGATGGAACTATTGATAAAATGGAACAACTTATTTCTTGTAGTCGTCTACTTGGTTTAACTCTAATGAAACAACGTGAAACACATATTGATGTATGCATGACAAGTATATGTCGTTTAGACCAATATATTTCTGAATTATATCCTAGTCTAGCTGAGTTACTTATACACGAAATGCTTATCAACTGGCAAAATAATAAAAATTCCGAAAAATATTCTTCAATTTTGTTAATTTTTGCCTCGGCCAATTTCAAAGAAACTTTAACTCCTCAAGGTTTGTATTATCACTTTGAAAATTTCATCGACCATTTATTGTGTCCTTTTATAGAATCCTTAAGTGCCATATTTGAGTTTAACTCTTTGACATTTAGTAATCATATGATGAATTTTGTTTTCGACTTATATACATATAAAAATCATTTACTTGGTTATATGTACAACCATTTGCTGAGGTTTATTATTAAACTGGTTATAATTCATACTGAAAATCGAAAATTATCATTAGAACAATAAATGGAGTTTACCCGAATCTTTTAAGGTAATTAGTTCGAATCGTTTTTCTAATTAAACAGTTTACTCAAAAGTTCATGAAATTAACAGGATTATTATATGGGGCTTGTGTTAAATAGTGGTAAGCCAAATATCTATATTGGGATTGGAACATTTGCTCATGGTTTCGCAAAGCTGATTAAATGAGCAAACAATCAATAGTTTCTATGAAATATCAACACATGCAGTTTGTTTTATTGTTTTCTTTTTTACTCCGGGAGCTATTGATCAATGAGAATTTTTCAGCTTTTCAGAAGTAATTTTCATCCAATAATTGTTAGAAGTTTGTGATTGTGTTAGATATATGTTCTGTTGTGTAATGGGATTTTTTAATAGTCAATACTAATGATATCCCTCGGGTTTTAAGCTTACACTTATTAACAATCATGCTGCTGATCAAATGATTAAATGAAATATTGATTTTAATGTGATTAGGCAACAAAGTACAGACTGTTGTATGTATTGTTTAGGTGCTATGCCGACTATTCAACTCCTTAAACCTAAGCAAGTGAAGTGAAGCTTAATCGTACAACCCATTGTTTAAAATTCAATTGCTCATAACACAGTATAGTCTCCATTTTCACTTTAGGGATAATAAATCTTCATCAACTCAGTTTGTTGGTGCATGTGTTATGTATGCCCAACCACCGCTTACATCAAAGGGTGGTGTTCTCTGGCACATGGGGGCAGGTTGTAAGAAAATTAGAGCCAGTCAAACCAAAATATGGTGTCAGTCCATGAAGTCATCGACAATTGGAATACAGGTGTATACCACCTAATTGGGGTACAGGTGATTATCGTAACCAGTGATTACAGACTTTGAATGACATAGCTCAAAATCGTTTGCAATGGGACAGGTACATCCACTCTTTGTCTTCACCCAGATTCTGAATTCCTTACAATTTTTTTAAAAAAAAATTGACTAATTTATATTTTATTGAATCTTATCTTCGATCCCTAATCTTTCTAATCAGCACTCATGCTGTTGCTACTTCTACTACTCTGAGATTCGGACTGACAATTCTATCTATCTGTAACGATGGATTATGGAAACTCAAACCGATGTACATACATACCAGATTCTGTGTTGCGTTTGACTATCTGACTTACTTAGAGATCAGCTAAATAGTATGCAATCACTAAGATAACTCATGAATTATAAGCTAGGCTTTGTAACTAGTTCTGTATATTTGAAATCATCAGCTGTTTAAATGATACGCAATGCCCAAATACTTTTTATGAAGCTTGAGATTCCAAATAATATCATTAATGTTTTCTGCATCTAAATCTTTAAGAACAAAATAGCTGTACACTATTGTGTTATATTTCTCGTTTATTCTACTGACATCAGTTTGTGGCAAAACTGGAAAAGTGTAATCTATGTACTACCAATTCGTTTATTGGTTGTTTTTTTCTATAGATTTTTAGATGTACTAAAATTTTTTAACCGTTTATGTTCATAAAAATTTTGATGATGAACAATTTTACCTCACTTTTTTAATCATAGAAAATAACATTGATTCATCCTCTTCTATCGATAATGCAATATCTCACAACCAAATCAACGATAATCGCGCAGATATTCGTAATGCACTGATTTCAAATGAAGGATTCCTTGGTTGGGCATCGGATCAACTGGCCACTAAACTTTCTATTGTTTCCAATCAATCACCAGTAATTAAAGAAGTACTTGAAGGAGAATATCCGAAATTATTGAAATTAATATTAGATTTGGAACGTCGTGTAACCAGTACCCTTTCAAATGAATTTTCTAATGATAGTAATTATGATCAATATACATTATCATCTACTCATCACCAAACTACCTTGGAACAACTACCTTCATGTTTGGTTCGAGCACTGCACCCATTTGAGACAGCTTATTTATCTCGTAGTGTATCACGTTTATTTGATAGGGTAACTTTGGCTTTTTCAACATCTACAACAGCTGGACCAGATACAAATGAATTAAATGATATCATACAAACAGCTGCGAATGAATTAGGTTATGTTACTGTTCATCATGACCTTTTACTTAAGGTGAGTGGCTTTTCTTAAAAAAGTTGAGGTTGAGATGAATACTTATGTGTATTTCATAGTTAGTTTTCTTTATGAGCTAATTTCACTCAAAATAACTGGAAATCGCCAGAAATCAATTCTAGCCTAATATAGGATATTATTGCTCATTTACGGCTCAACGGAGTATCATACATATCCTGGTTTTCGAGCTTTTGAAGAACATATTTCCTATTAACCAACTGTGTCGTAATTCAATAGTTCATCCTCCTAACCTTAATCAATTCACGATGGATCAAAATCCTTACGTCATTCAGTTAATGGTAGCTGTTCCACTTATAACCTGTCTGACTCCACGAATCAAAGCTTTTCACTAGAATTTTGGGCAGTTGATCTCGAAACTAACCACTTATAACGAAACACTTATTTAGATAAGTGGTTTATTGTCCTACTCAATGAATCTCTTTGAGTTTTGTTTAAAAAATTAGTATTATTTTTGCAAAGTTATATTTTCAAATATTTCTACTTCCCAATCGTACGCGAACTGGTTACATCAGGTGGAATTGTTTAGGGCTCTTGTTAGTTAACTCGCTAGATCCGGCTTCTACTGTTTCCTGAGAGACACTAATTGTTCATTGACACATTTTTATCCTTGATTAAGTCAACGAAAATTAAGTGTGTATGGAACAATTGATTGATCACCAATCAATTTATGAAAGCTTAAATCAATGTATTGTGTGTAGGGATCCTACGCTGTTATGCTTGTCTATCTATTATTGTTTGCTAAAATAACTACTGACAACAATACCTTTTTAGTTTCATTTTTAATTATCGACGATATACCGAAGTTAGGAACATTTTGTGATTTTCTTCTTAACCATATCACTGTACTGTTATGAAGTATAACAATTTTAACTGATGCAAATTGTATTCCAGATGTTACACTGTTTCTACGTGCTTGAATTAATGGTAAACACATGAGTATATTCTCGTGCAAAATGATAAATTAAGCCACAAAACGATCTTCACACAAAACTTATTTGATAATTCCGTTATTTATATTTAGTCTTATCTGAAAATCATCGATATAACGCAAACATATCCACGACCCCCGAAAATGAGGAAACAATGATTATGGGTTTTATTGCTTGCCAACATCAAGTATATATATTGCTTATATTACAATTATTACCATATTATCTACAAAAACAATCCTGTGTGTAACGCTGATAGACTATACTAACCATCAGGTCAAATTAAATAGTTTACATTGAACAATGAATTTATTTGCTTAATACTAAATATGTAATCAGTAGACAAACAAGTAAATTACTGATTTTTCTATCTGTTACCTAACTTTCTTTTCATAAACTTAGGTTACTCGCAATTTAGATAAATTGATTGCTTTATTTGCAACTAAAACTGAAGCTTTAATTTACTCGGGCGGCATTAGTGTAGTACAATTGACAGATTCACAAACACTTGGACAACAGAATAATATACATTTGGTCAACCTTCTCTGTCAGTTTGGAACAAATTTACAATTAACTGTAAATAAACGACTGAGTAATCTGAATACAATAACAGCATCCAACATTAATCATAAACGTTATAATAAATCATCTACATGTTTGGATGGAACCTTTCCACTGACCACCACAATTGAAACAATGACACCAATTAAAAATCCACTTCAGTTAATTTCAGAATCAACAAGAAATCATTTAAATAATTTGTGCATTTCTATTTTAAATCCATTTCTTCTAGCTATTAGTAATAAAATAGATGAAATTTTAAGTTCTATGCATAATGAATATGATTCATATCAAAATGTATCAGTTAATGAATTAAATAGTAAGTCAAAATATCTACAAGATTTACAGGTTAGTTATTTTCCTTTTTAAGAAAATTCATAATATTTTTGTAAATATTGATCTTTCGATTATGTCCATACAATTCTTCATGATAAACAATACTAGACGATTAGGCGATTTAATGTAACGAAACATACTAATGACAGAAAAGGTGAAAATTTTAGATTTCTGTCATAAACTGATGTCCAGACAAATAGTGCCGTAGTTTCTGAAACAATCTATGTATTAGATTCTAGTTAGTTTGAACATATACATTTATTGGAATGTAATGAATGAGTTTTAAATACAAATAAGATGTTTTGTATTCCACTACTATTAGCCGCTACGCAATAGTTTCATCAAATTATCAGTCACATTGAATCTTGTTTGGAAGCCGAAATTACTTTGATCAGTAAAAGACGTCTTCGTTATCTAACCATTTAATGTCGTTCGAATTCTGTCGATCACGTTACAATGTGGCCACCAGTCTAAGTGACCACATCACGTGCACTATGTTTCGATTTTCAGGTTGTTTGAGGTAGTTTGTAGGAAACTAGATGATGTGGGTTCAAATATCATAGAAAGTATCAGTTCCCACAAGATTATAAATACATTTAATTGATGAGTTAAAACTAATATTTGTCGTCCTATATTGAAAAATTAACTTTTTAAGGCTACGTCTCGATTTCGTAAATTAGCGAAATGAATAACATTGTAAAATAAATTTAATCTATTTCTATCGTGATTAATTATTACTGTTCTTTTATATTGATTGTCCGTCAACTTTATTTCCATCTACTAAATATTAGCTTCAAGTAGGTAGTGTCTATATAAAACTAAGTAAATTTCCCTATATGAAGAGGTGTTTTTTTTTATAAAAGAGTACTTGTATGCAAATCACGCAAAGAAACTGAAAGATAATTCCCGTATATTTAGTTAGTGCCTTGGATTCGAACCAATTTCTCGCTTTTCGTTCTGTTTGGGACCCACCGCCTAGATATACCAGTGCTGATGTCCACACCGAGACAAACGTAGTACATTTATTTTCAAACACTCAACTTATAACAATATTTCGCGTAAATCCGCTGAGAGCATATCGTAACAAAGACTGACCAGTTGTAGTTCTGAATATAAACAACAGAAAATTTCAAAACGTTGCTAAGAGCTGAAAAATAGTTCATAAAATTAGTTTACTGCGAAATAATGCTAGTTGAAGAATTATTGAAAACCTAAAGAGCTCCTTATATATGTTTCCTCATAGTCTAGAACCATTAAACACCCGTACCTACGACCGCATATCACAATGCATAATGAAAGATCTTGAAATCGTTCTACCTTTATTAAAAAATTTTTTACCTTTTGTTTTTAATTCAAACAAATCAACTAGTTTGTCATATATAAAATTAGCTGTTTCGATTATATTATTTCTACGTATGTTATATTTGATTAACTTATTGAATAAATAATTACTGAGCATAATTGAAATATTTCTCATTAAGCTGGTATTGTTTATCCTTGTTATACATATTATTGTAGTGCATGTACTTAGTCTTGTTACTTGTTCACTTAATTAACCATACTTCACTTAGTCATTGATTTTTGATTCTATGGCATAAAATCTTGCAGTTGGTTTTTTCCTCCGTGATTTTTGTACCATAAAATCAACTCTGTATTACACAATTACTAAGTTTACATATTTGAAGCAATCTGGACAAACTTACTAGTAGAAGTAAACCAATAGAAGTTTCATTTCATATTCCTCAATAATCCTCAAATAGATTAAGTATTCTTCATTGTTATGTAAGCTCTACTGATTTATCTGTTTTCATATTTTTTGGCAGAACTTTACTGCTAGAGTTCGTCAACAATATTTATCTGATCTATCACAACCTCCGAAGTTTGTTAACACAATATCTAATGTATTCACACAATCAGGATGTTATGTTTGTGGTGAATTTGCATTACAAGATGCTTTAAAACCAATTCTTACTATGTGTGTCAACAGTTACCTTTGGCGATCAACATTAATTCGTTCTTCAAAAGAATCAGTACGTCTTAAACTAGCCGCTGATTACAAAGAATTCGAATTAGCTTTAATGCCATTATGCTCTCCAAATTACGGATATACATTAAGTAAACTAATCCCAGAATCGTATGAACAATTAAGAGAATTTCCGTCTATCCTATCTATGGAAAATGAACAGTTAGTCCAAGTACGCTTTTTTGTGTATTTTGTGTATTCAATTGCCTGTTATTAAGTTTAATCGAGTTTACCAAATTGTTCGAGGGCATTATTTGTGTTCAACCCAACATGATATTTGCAGAATTATCTTACTAAATACTTTAAACTGGTCAGGTATATGGAAATGGTAACCAGCTTTTTTATTTGTAAGGGAGGTAGACATAAATTCCTGGTGAAATAGAACTATAAATTTGTACTTACAATATTTATTTATATAAATAATAATAATAAATTTATTTATTTATTAAATCACATATATATTGGTACAAAGGGCACCGGATACATATGCGCCACACAAAATAATGAGAATGGGAGAAGGAAGAAGATGCGTATATATAAAAGAAGGAAAAATAAGAAAAGGAGAAGAGTAATGATGGGGGGAACTGAAATGTACAACCAGAAGAGCTCTCTCAGTTAGGAAAGTTATAGCCACTCTTTATGAAGAAAGTAGAAGAAGGTTACAGCAGGATCGCCACTGGCTTCTATTCTGAGCCATATCTGATAACGTCTGTAGCCACTGTGTTGCACCATCTCTCGGACTCCAGCCAGGGAGTCGTGAAGGATCAACAGAAGCTAGCCCTTTGCAGCTTTCTTTCATACCACGACACCATGTCATACACTGACCTCCTCTCCGCTTTTTCCAACCAGTCCCAGAGTCGGCAAATAATGCACGACGTGGAAGCCTCTGGGACGACATTCGTAAAACATGTCCAAGCCACCGAAGTCGGTGTTTCAAGATGGTGACACTAATTGAATTATCGTCTCTGCGCCCGAACACTAACATGGTGTTGCCACTGGATGTCAGCAATCCTTCGGAGACAACGATGATCGAACACAGAGAGTCATCTGACATCCTCAACTCGGAGAGGCCAGGTTTAACAAGCATAGAGCAAAACTGCTCTCACCGACGCGTTGTAGATCCGACCTTTTACAGCCAGACTAACATCACGAAGGCGCCAAATATGGCCCAGATTGGCATAAGCCGCTCTGGCTTTCATTATACATGCATCAATCTCATCACTCACGCCACCACCAGCACTTATGTAGCTACCTAGATACACGAACTTCTCAACTACTTCAATCTGGAATGGAACAAGGGAGAAAGGTGGTTTTATGCCCTCATTCTGAGGTGAGATTGGCGCAGACCAGGGCATGATCAGACTCCAGATAGGTACTCCAAAAGGAGCGACAGTCTTGTACACAACCACGCCAGCGGTAGCTGATCGCGATGTGATCAATCTGAGTCCAGGCTTGAGATGCAGAGGGAGGACGCCAGGTGGCACACCGGCGATGACTGTGCCGGAAGTTAGTGCTAGCCAGAAACAGGTTGTGGTCTGTGCACAGTTGCAGCAAAGGTCCCCGTCATCTGTCCTGCGACCAACAAGTCCCCATCGGCCACCTAAACGACTCTCTTCTGTGCCTAGACGCCCGACCTGTGCATTCAAGTCTCCGGCTAGTACTACAATATCTGTCGAACGCGCTTTCTGGAGAAGAACTGTTAACTGATGGTAAAACTCATCCTTGATTGCATCCGGGCTGCAATCTGTCGGGGCATAGGCGGAGATGACGAAAAGATACCGTTTCTCACGCCGGTTTCTTCTCACTTTGATGGAACTTTCTAATCTAACAGCACATAACCGACTGTTAATGGGGATCCAATCGATTAGTGCTGCCTCAGCTTTGGCGCTTAGTGCGACACCAACGCCAGCATGACCAGACGAAGATGTCACAGGGTCCCCGGATAAGCGCACGTGGAACAAGCTTTTCGAGGCGACAGATGGAGAGCGGATTTGTAGTACTTCACTAGAGTCTTGAATACGGGCCTCGGATAGACAGCAAACATCAACATTTAGACTTTCTAAAGACATAGCCAGCCCCATCTGTTGTCCGATCTGCATTAGTGTGCGAACGTTGAAGGAAGCCAGCTTGAACGGCGTACGTGGTTTCAGAAAGACTGCTTCAGTATTCATAATCGGTGGAAGCATTCACTTTCAACCAGACAGTGACTGGAGATCGTTTAGATAGGACAGATTTTCCACCAAGAGCGAGCTGCTGCATAAGTTGAAAATTAAGGTTGCACAAATTGGGGATAAAAGGGGGTGAATTTGCGATATGGTAAATAATAATAATAATAACAATAATAATAATAGTAATGATGCAAATTGTTTTGTTTCTAGTATGAACAAGAATATAACTGTCAATTGAATGTTTCATTTCATTTATTTGCGAGAGGGCTGTGATACTGCCCGGGTGCCCAAACCGAAGCAGGTGGTTTTCTTAGGGGTCCACACCCCGAGCCTTTGACCTAGAGGTCTAACCCACAAGGCAGTGGAGCATCGTAAGGAGATGCAGTCCCATGGTAGTCGGTGACTAATAACTGGTTCATTCGCCATTTGTTTCTTCAGGATACTGGAGCCCATGTTCACCATTGGTTTGGAATCAGGGTTTTCCAACTCCCCTAGGTGAATCCTTCATATCAACCAACCCGGTTATAGCGCCGGACATTCACTTTTCGTCCTCTCAATTTCGTAAACAACAGTAATGCCACGAGAAGGCAGTGAGTAGGACTTCCCTGGCAGGGGCTATATACGCGTATAATAGATTAATAATTAATAAATAGTGGATTTTGACTCTGATGGTTATACGCGATAATATACTGACAAATGTAATTGCTATTTTCACGTAAATAAACGCTTAAGAGGTCGACTTTAGTCGTATAACTGTCTTGGTTTCTCAGAATATATACATATATTACAGTAGGAAACCATCAATTTAAGTTTACGAACTTACACTCCTGTTAATGAAAGCAGCAACGAACGGTCAACACTAAGCAAATACAAGGAGAACGAAGATTTCTTTAATTACATCCAGACAAATATTGAAATTTAGCAAGCAAGTAACTATGCAATGAAACATTTAGATCACATAAATCTCACGTAAATTATCATTAATCTAAATTATATTTACTAAACCTTATCATTTAAATATATGCCAAACAAATAACTTGTTGATCAAAGATTTCGAAACCTCCTGGGTAATTGTAAATCCTGTAAAACTAATCTAATTTTGATCATACGAAAATGTGTATAGTTGGTTTTCAGAAAACACTATCCCTGATGATATTACCAAGCCAAACCAAGTAAGGCGAAGTACAGTTCAGACCCACAACTTTCTGATTGAAATTTAAATGTTGTAACTATAGTATGTGCCACCACTCTATAATAATTAACATTGATTTGATTATATTTTTATTTGTGCGAATGTATCTGCTTTTATTAAGTCGTAATATATAGAAAGCATTTTCATATTTTCCCCGATTCTAAATAGTATGGAATAATATATTCACGATTAATATAAATATAATTTTTTCTCAGACTTATGCAAAAGAGAATTCAGTTGGTTCTTCATCAAATTATGTATTGCCGAGCATGATTTGTCAACATATGTTTAGTAGAGCACCGGATGAAATTCGTTATCCCCATATTATTGCAGGCTGGTCTACAAATTACTATGTATCGTGGTTGGTGAAAAGAGAAAATGATACAGAACGTTTAATTTTTCTACGCAACGGTCTTTCAGCATATGTCCATGAGGTAATGCATCTTTTTAGATTTTCTAAAATTGGATTCTTAAATTAAGTTGTGTGCTTTTTTCTGTATTTGTTGTCATCTTTATGAGGAATATTCGATAAGAAAAAGTTGCATTGCTTAGGTAATCTGACAACTCCAATTTTAAATGAAACTTATGACAATTAGATCCTCGGTCGAATTTTTATAAATCTTATTATTAAAAACTCATTATAATATTGTAAATACTAATTGTTTATAGGAATCGTTAGTATCATATAGAAAGAAACCCTCATACGAGTCAATGACCGTTATGAAGAATTCAATTGGTTGATAGTAAACAGCGCAAAGCCTAATACAAATATCTGTCAGAATCAAGTTGCCGCAATTCACTTCAAAATAATGTGAAGAAATAGAGTCGACATCATATGGCGCATAGTGCCAAAGAAACAAATTAAGTTCCTGGATAAAAGGCATACGATGATACTAAAGAACATAATTAGAGAAAGATGTATGAATTTTCGATATTGCAATCGATCCTCATAAAATATTATTAACACAGATCCCATCAAGAAAGTTTGCACTTCCTTATTTACTTCAATCTACCAGTCATTTTAACTAATTGGCTCCATACTTTGATCTGAACACCACTCCTTTTTCCTCAGTTTACTCTCTATTTTAGCATAGTTTGGTCAGTTCATCATGATAAGTAAAAGCCTAAACGCTACATCGATTACCACTGGGATCGCAAAAAAACATATTTGTTCAAATACAGAGACCACTTTCCAAAAGTTCATATTAATTTTAAGTGATTTGTGTAACCGAAAAAGCTTTCTATGACGATCTAACTACTTTAAAAAAATAACAAATTAAGGTCTGTATCATATAAATTTATGTGCTTGATAAAGTAAACTGTATTTAAAAATCTTGCTTTCATTAGGTCCAAATAAGACAACAACGAGAATATCCACCGATTTATTTGCAACTGAAAGGATTTCTGGACTATCATATTGGAAAAGACTAAAAGTGAAGCTTATATGCATATGTACTTTTCTTATTGTATCTATTTATATGGGATTTGTTTTAACTAATTTGTTATACATAATTTCATTTTAAACACTGTGATACATATTATTTTAATGAAATAAATACTTGATTTGTTTATTTTGTTTTTTGACTAGCAAATCATCATAAGATAATTAAGTAGTTTACATATAACAACAAAAGTACTATGGACTACTTAATATTAATTATAGTGGAGTAATATTTGAGCGTAAATTGGAATCATATTCAGATATGCCAATATGAATTGCGTTGTAGTAACTTGTTTGTTTCAACGCGTCAGCACAGAAATTCATCCTCAGACTTTTTTTTCCAGAAATACTTACTGTTGGTTTGTAAAAATGTTATTTGGACTTTCCAACTAAAACATCCAATGACTTCTTACAGTGATTAAATTTCATTGTCATGAGCAACTTCAGCTTTCTGTTTTTGAAGTGTCATTTCATTTGGTACACACAAACCTTTAAAACGATTAAAAAGTAGTATAATATCAACCCTTGACGCTGATGCATTACAATGAACGTCATCCAATGCTATGCGCCTACCAACGATTACAATGAAGACGTTAAAGATCAATTCTACGATAGGCTGCAGTCAATCGTCGAGAAATGCCCAACAAAGGACTTGACCATTCTGATGGGAGATTTAAATGCTAAAATTGGAATGGACAACACCGGATACAAAAACATCATGGGACGACATGGACTTGGAGAAAGGAACGAAAATGGTGAGAAGCACAAGCCGAATACACAGAAGCAAACAAGCAAGTGAAGAGGAGCATCAAAACCAACAAACGTAAATATATGCAAAATTTAGCGATAACGGTGGAAAAGGCTGCAAGAGAAGGAAACATGAGACAATTTCATGATGCAACAAAGAAAGGAACAAAAATGGTGAGAGATTTGCAAACCTATGTGCCTTCAACAAACTGGTCATAGGCGGTACCATATTCCCACACAATTACATACACAAAGCCACATGGACTTCATCGGATCACACTACACAGAACTAAATCGACCATATCTGCGTCAACAAAACGTTCAGAAGGACGATGGAGGACGTAAGAACCAAGAGAGGAGCTGATATAGTATCCGATCACCATTTGCTGGTCGCCAAGATGAAATTAAAACTTAAGCACTGGAAAATGGGGCGGACAACATCACAAAAGTTTGATACGGCTTTTCTTTGGGATGCTGGCAAACTCAATAAATTCAAGATAGCCTTCAACAACAAGTTCCAGGCCTTTCATGAGCTACTCAGAGGAGAACTACCATGGAGAGCAACTGGAAAGGTATCAAAGAGGCAATCGTTTCAACATGTCAGGAGGTTCTGGGCCAAAAGAAGCACCATCACAAGGAATGGATCACTGTTGGTACACTGGATAAAATTGAAGAAAGAAGGAACAAGAAGGCAGCAATAAATATCAGCCGAACAAGAGCAGAAAAAGCCAAGGCACAAGCCGAATACACAGAGGCAAACAAGCAAGTGAAGAGGAGCATCAGAACCGACAAAAGTAAATATGTGGAAGATTTAGCGATGACAGCGGAAAAGGCTGCAAGAGAGGGAAACGTGAGACAACTGTATGATACAACAAAGAAACTTGCTGGAAATTACCGTAAACCAGAACGACCAGTGAAAAGCATGGAAGGCAATGTAATCACCGGCATTGAAGAACAACGAAACAGGTGGGTAGAACACTTCAAAGAACTCTTGAATCGACCAGCTCCACTGAACACACCCAACATCGAAGTAGCACCCACAGACCTCCCAATCGATGTTGGCCCACCAACAATTGAGGAGATCAGCATGGCCATTAGACAAATTAAAAGCAGCAAAGCCATGGGACCAGACAACATTCCAGCAGAGGCACTGGAAGCAGCAACTGCAAAGACACTCCACATTCTCTTCAGTAAGATTTGGGATGAAGAACAAGTACCAACAGACTGGAAAGAAGGACATCTGATCAAGATACCAAAGAAAGGCGATCTCAGCAAGTGTAATAATTACAAGGGCATCACTCTTTTCTCTATTCCAGGAAAAGTCTTCAACAGGGTATTGTTAAACATAATGAAGGACTCCATAGACGCCCAACTTCGAGACCAACAGGCTGGATTCCGTAAGGATCGTTTATGTACAGATCAAGTCGCAACTCTATGGATCATTGTGGAACAATCAGTTGAATGGAATTCATCACTGCACATCAACTTCATTGACTACGAGAAAGCATTTGATAGCGCGAACAGGAAAACACTACAGAGGCTTCTTCGACAGTACAATATGCCTGAGATAGTCAATATCATACGGAATTCCTATGATGGATTAAACTGCAAAATTGTGTATGGAGGACAGCTCACTGACTCGTCCGAATTAAAGATCGGTGGCGGGCAAGGTTGCTTACTCTTTCTCCCGGTAATCGACTGGGTTATAAAGACGTCAACATCTGGAGGGAAGCACAGGATACAGTGGACAGGCAGGATGCAGCTTCACGATTTAGACTTCGCAGATGATCTGAACAAGTGCAGGAGATGACCCGTGTAACAGCAACCTCAGCAGCAGTAGGTCTCAATATAAACAAAGGAAAAGCAAGACTCCGATACAACACAACATGCAACAATCGAATTACGCTTGATGGAGAAGCTTTGGAGGATGTGGAAACCTTTATATATCTGGGCAGCATCACTGATGAACACGGTGGATCTGATGCAGATGTGAGAGCGAGGATCGGCAAAGCAAGAGCAGCATACTTACAACTGAAGAACATCTGGAACTCAAAACAACTGTCAATCAACAGCAAGATCAGAATTTTCAATACAAATGTCAAGACAGTTCTACTGTATGGGGCGGAAACCTTGAGAACTACGAAAGCCATCATCCAGAAGATACAGGTGTTTATTAACAGTTGTCTACGCAAAATACTTCGGATCCGTTTGCCAGACAATATCAGCAACAAACTACTGTGTGAGAGAACAAACCAGATTTCAATGGAGGAAGAAGCACTGGAAGTGGATAGGACACATTGAGGAAAGCACCCAACTGTGTCACAAGGCAAGCCCTCACTTGAAATTCTGAAGGCCGAAGAAGAGAAAGACCCAAGAACACATTACGCCAAGAAATGGAAACAGATATGAGAAGAATGAACAACAGCTGGATAGAACTAGAAGGGAAGGCTCAGAACAAAGTGTGTTGGAGAATGCTGGTCGGCGGCCTATGCTCCATTAGGGGTAACAAGTGTTGATAAAAATGGCACTAGTAATTCACTATTAAACATTTTTCTAACAGGTCGGACATTATTATGCAAGAAAAAAAGCATTGGATGTTTTGTGGACAGCAGATGACAGAGCAGTGACTGTAAACTGTAGTTAAGGTTTCTGCTACGCTGTACACGAATATTATCTAATGAAAGAAAAATCTGTCCAATTTACCATTGTGTTCTTCATATAAACTGCTATACTGATACTTCTAGAAATGACTACCTAAACAACCCTAGTTTATCATTAAGATCTATGATAATCGACTCCCCTCACCGCAGTGTTGCAGAAAAATTAACGCACTACACCAAAAACAGGTTCCAACAATGTACGGTCACGGACTTTACAGCGGTTATATCGTGAAATGCAGAACTAGCTCATTTCTTAGTGTTTTAATAAAAGAGCCCACCATTAACTTTTCAAAAGGCATAAACAGTAAGGTGTATATTGTTCACAATAAAATCCTGATTACTTAAATACGTCATCTCAAAAGAAAAAGAATTAACTGTACAAGAATTAGTATAGTTAAAATAATTTAACGTTTCCGTTTTTTGTGTGACTGGTTATTATTTTTATTTTTCCAAGCACGTTGTTTTTGTTTTTCGCGCAATTTGCGTTGCTTTAATATTTGCTCAGGTAGCCTGAGTTGACCAAATGTTCGAGATCCTTTTGGTTTGCGTATTTTTTTCCTTTCTTCTGCATTCTGTAAACGTTCTTTCTGTCGAGAATTTGCTCGGTCTTCTAAAATTAGTGTACAAATACATATATATAGAGAGAAATTAAGTGCAACTATATGTTTGTACAACCTATCTGTTTGTTTGGCTAGTATAATTGTGGTGTATGCTATTTGTGTTTGCAGATATAAGTAGTATGTAACACCAGTCGAAAGTGAAATTTGTGCGAGCATAGAGTTGAGAAGATTGATATAAAGAAAAAGAGAAAACTGAGAGTAATCAAGAAAAAAACAAGGATGAAGATACAATGAAGCTTGTAAGAGACAGTTCAAAGATGTGCAAATGATGTATTTGAGGCATGATTCTGACATTTTACTGAAAAGTATGTACATGTATTTGACCAATAGGTTATGTAAAAGCAATGTCTGATACTTTCGACTTATGTAAGTATTACTACTACCAGTGAGCCACAATTTCATCGTACAGTTATATAAAATGATAATGGTGATTGACTAATTTAAGCAAAAGTGTCATTCAATAGAAAGGTAGAACCTAGTCCGTAAGTACATCGGTTTGAGTTGCTATAACCCATCGTTACAGATATATACAATCCTTAGTTCAAATCCCAGAGTAGTAGAGGTAGAAACAGTATGAGTGCTGATTAGAAAGATTAGGGATCGAAGATAAGATTCAATAAAATATAAATTAGTTAAATTTTAAATAATTATAAGGAATTCAGAATCTGGGTGAAGACAAAGAGTGGATGTAACTGTGCCATTGCAAACGATTTTGAGCTACGTCATTCAAAGTCTGTAATTACTGGTTACGATAATCACCTGTATCCCAATCAGGTGGTATACACCTGTTAACTTGGCTACATTCCAATTACCAATGACATGATTAAGCTTTATCGACTGAAAAAAGTTACTATAGGACACCATTTAGTTAAAAAATTTAATCATAAAGATATAATAATGCTTTAAAAGATGGTTATTAAAATTAACTTATTGACAAAACGTTTCACTTACGCCATTTTTGTGATCCAATAACTGCAAATTTTGGTGTTAATTGCTGTTTTTTACTCTTTTTCCTTATTGATGATTTTAAAGAATGATTTTGTTTGCCGGTCACTTCATTTGTATCAGGTAATTCTATTACATCACCATAATTTGCAAATTTTTTATGCATATTTGAAGCATCGATAGCAGAGGATGATTCTTCTGCCGATTTGCTTGTTTCCTGTATAATATCCGACTTGGATTTTTTAAGCCACAGTTTATATCTTAACAAAAGGAAAAGAATATAACGGTTGGAGTCAAAATATATATATTGTCGCTTTCATTGGCTGGATAAAACAGGTGAATACCGTTAAGCTTAGCCCACGAACTAAATGTTGAATTGGTTGCGGAAGGCGTACAGTTGAAGAGCAAAACGGTATAAAACACTTTCCTTAATTATAGCATGCTAAAAAATCATTAGGTAAAAAATAGATTATGGAGGAATTTTGAACAATGATGTTATGCTATTATAAGGAGGGTCGAAAAAGATCATTGTACACAAAATCCGCAGATATTGGATTTGATAAGTAGGGTAGATAAAGATATATCACTATTAATATCACCAAACGATTCTTAAATAGAATTTAAAGGTTGAACAAATTTTAGGTATGATGGAACACTTGCATCTTTAATACGAATGAACTATAGGAGACAATCGAGAAATGTCATAGGGTAGGTACACGGTAGCAACACAGTCTTCTTCTGTAGCAACTACATTACATTCTGTTGAATCTACCACACCAATATCATGTTTGATTTTCTGGAAGAGAGGTTTTACATTATGGAAAAAAACAAGTCACAGTTAGAATAGAATAGTGTGCAATTAATTGTAAGAGGTTAGTAAGTCCCTCGTTTTGTCATACAATTGCACTTCAATATAACTATGTAAAATAAAATACATTAGAAGCATTATTTAGGGGTTAATACTTCACTTTATTTCATAAACAAACCAACACATATTTGTCCTTTGATTTTCAATTTGGACAACTGTATATACTCATTTATACACTGAATGCTATTAAGTAAAATAAATCAATTACGGTGATTGGTGATATATTTTTGGGGAAAATTAGACTCAATTAATGATTATGACCCACTTGTCTGTTTTGTATGATGCAGGAATCCATACACCACTTTCAGTTTTAATACGTTTCATATTTGCTTTACCTTGAGCAGCATCCATTCCAGTAAATCGTTTGCGTTTACGATCCCAAACAAGCTTTCGACTATGTGATCCTGCAACTCCACCACTGAATTATTATCAGGAAATAAAAGAACCGAAATGTAGGACGTAAGTTATTTATTTAATAAAAATTAAGCGTACGGCACAAGTTTAAAAAATCGTGATAATCTTTACCGACTTTGTATTCTATCAATTATGAAAACTTCAATTCGACATTTCTGACTAGCTAAAATGAATCCATTGGTGATAAACCCATAATAAAAATTAATGACTGAATGTTTGCTTTAGATTTTAAAGAAAAAAACATAATTTACTAATGATCCTTTAATGAAATAAAAAGCGAGACTTATTTATCACGTGCAGGTTTTATGTACTTCACTTTGAGATTTATAGTTTAGCGTGAAGGTTGATAGTAATATGGTAGTGAACAAAATACGGGTGGGGACAATCGAATGTATTTAAACACAAATTACAGACTATCTCATTAAATTCTGATAACCATACAACAAACAGTTAATTTGCAAATTAACAACCAATTGTCTCAATCTTCACTATTACTTCAGTAAATATTAATTCATCTTCTCTAATTTCATTGTTCATGCATTTTCCTACCAATTGCGTTTCATTTCAGTTCTCTCCTTATCGGTCTTCTGCCAAAATACATTATATGTCTGACCATCATCATATACTACTTATGTGGACATAAGTAGCCAACACCACAATATAACCAGGCTAAACAAAACACACTATATGAAGTGGGATTTGAATCCATCACTCATTATAGTTGAAACCCGAGTGTTCTATTTATCAAGGTATTTCTCCAAATGAACGTTGACAAGACAGTCCTAACTAATCCACGCTCAAAACACATCGATAGGTTCATTTTCAATAAATCAGCATTAAGGGAGAAGACGAGATATTCTTCTTTAAACTCTAAATAAACTTTATTGAAAAATGAATTGTTTTCTTTCGTTTTTAATTTTCCTATGGGGACGGAATAGTGAAATAATGTTTCAAGAAAACAAGACAATAAAAGAATATAACGATAAATAATAAAAAAATGATTACGAAACCTAATCAGGATAATCACTATATAAGCACAAAAAGATGTTTTGCAAAGTATAAGCTTAGATGAGAAACCAATCCAATTAATAAAATTAATTAATCATTAAATTAAATGAATCAAAAATTGTAATTACTGGACTTGTTGTGATTCATCATTTGGTAAATCTAATGAAGCTGCTGCTGCATCTAAACAAAATTGACTTTTTGTTCCAGTAATTGACAATCCATTCTCTGTTGCTTCATCACCACGTGAATATGGTACAAAGAAGTCAATATTTTCCAAATTATCCGACATTTCATCGTTAGCATTACATACACCTAATTGATCAGTTAATGAGACCTTTCTTTCTACTAAATTCTATGAGGGGATGGAGATTTGTAGAGATCTGAGTAAAATTGTTCAAATATATAAGTAAAAGTAATTTATGATAACCTATTTACCAGTTACAAATTTTCGTAGTTGGCTTTAAGTTCCATTTTAAACGTGAGCGCTATTGGTACTCCTTGAGTGTTTGAACTTAAGTGAAGCGGGGTTCGAACCCGAGATTTAGTGGTTGAAAGTCAAAGATCACGACCACTGAAATGTTACTACACTACTATTCCATAATTAAGAAAACCTATCAAGTAACTAGGAAATATGATTATAGCATATAATAAACTAATTTAAAAAGCTTTATTCACTGACTGACTAACATAACTTTGAAATCAATACAATGATTTGTTTGGTTTATTGCATTTGTAAAGAAAATAGTATTGTACACGGAGGATTTCAATACCAGTGAAAGTCATTAAAAAGAGAATATGGAGAAGAAATAGGATTATAATTCGATTACGCCCATTATTTACAGATTGATAAATGCTGATATACTGAATCAAATGATCTTTCAATCAATGGTACCAATCACTGCAGAGACTCTTCTTCCGAGCCATATGATATTATAGCTACATAGGCGATTGAAATGTAATGTTTCTATGATTCATCTCGAAAGATGTGAAGAAACAGCAGATCCTAATACAATGTAACTATCCTTCGTTTAATAGCACCATATCATGAACTGGTTACCTTATAGTCTTCTTGTACCCGATCCAATTTTCGCCAAATAATGTACGGTTTGACGTTCTCTGAAACAATTAGTGTAGAACATTTGTAGGAGACAACAGAAGCTCGTGTCTCAAAATAATTACGCTTATCCAGTCATCACCTCTTCAAAAGCTTCAGCACTACCCATACTGTTACAGAAGAATGTGAGTGGTTTTTTGAAGACAATGATGAGTGAACGCCTTAAACAACTGATCAGAATTTACAAAAATCGAATCGTTCAATAGGAGTGACGTCAGAGTATATATATACATAAATATATGTCTCACTTTCAGTACATTGTTGGTTTGACCGACCGCTCGCTGAGCTGCACGACGCGCTATAATGTGATCATGTAGCTTTCTTTTTTTGGTCATTGTAGCAAAAGCTTCAGGATTCACATGTTTACCCAAAGCTTCAAATATAGTCTGTGAGAAAATAAGTATGAATAGGCATAACATTGTACAAATAAAATCAGTGTACTGTTGAATAAGTATCAAAATTACTTGAAATTAAAATGTTGTGAAGAGTAATAATTCAGTAAGCTTCAATATGGAAATATACGTGGTAAGTTTTTGTTTAAAACTCTATAGTCGAAATGCTGTAAGACCGTAATTTGCAATAATTGAGGAACAACTCAGTGTTTATTCATACAGATCGAAAATAGGGAGCTTGTCAATTTAGGATCACAATGAAAGCAAAGTACTTTTGCGCACAAGAAACAAAAACAGTGACTAGCTCCCACAGGTAATTTTCGGAGTTCTAGTGAAAAGCCGTGACCATTAGAGCTCAACCGTGTCAAGCGTGAAGCAGTTACTCATTGAAGACAATGGAAGATGGTCGCAAAATATCGTGGATTGTTTGAAGTTAGAAATTTACACCGTCGGATCCTAGCTCAATAACCTAAAGGTTAAGCATTCGTGCGAGACCGAATGTCCTGGGTTCAAAATCCTACATACGAGATCGTGGATGCACACTGCTGAGGGGTCCCATACTAGGACCAAACGGCCATTTGATGCCTACAGATTTTCAGTGGTGGTCTAACATTAATCGGTTCATAGTTTCAATGAAAGAAAACAGGGACAAAAGTTCAAACTTTATGACGATTAGCAAAACCTCTTGACCTACAAGTAAAAACTTATTCAATTGTTCTATAACAACAATTAACTGAAATTGAGATGTTGAAGATTAGATTTTGGTGGTTAACCCACCGTGATATTATAAATGAATTGTATGATTCCCTAGTGTTCGAAACTGATAATGAAGTAATCATTTACTGGTTCCAGATTGCTTTGATCATTTAGTTGCTATCGATTTGTGTTAAAAACTGCTTCAGACTAATCAGGCTTTAAAACTCATAAAAACATAAGTCAAATAGATGTGTACATAGGGATTTACAAGTTTATTTATCTAGTACTCCTCATTTTATCTGCAGATATTATCCAGCTGTTTCTTTTCGAAAATGCTCTTATATGCAACTTAGTACTAAAAAAACAGAAGTCAATGTAAAAAGAAAATCCGCTTGACGTGTACCACAGAATGGTGTCCACTCAACAGAACCGAAAATCAACTATATTGATAAGAGCAGTGTAGAATGAGTTATAAGGTTCAGTAGCTACTTTTATATGTCTAAAGCAAAATATTTTTTATTTATCCTTTTTTACGCGGATATTACGTATACATGAGATACAAAACTGACAGTGTTAAAATACAAACAATTATAATCACATGGAAAGGTTTAATGTTTGTAACTCACAGGTAATTTGAGTTGTCGTATAACACCTAATATTTCATTATTTGTTACATCTTCTTTCTCTGCTGAATTATCTACAAAGCGAAGAAAAGATATCTTCGTAATGGAAAAAGAATTATACAGGAAACAAGGAGATCCAAGAGTATAGTACACATAATAAAAACAACAATATTGCATCAACAAAATATTTTTTGGGAAAATTAACAAATCATTGTGTCGACTCTGTTAATGAACAAATTAAGTAGGCTTTCAGCAATTTATTAAGTGTAATTTTGTATCGTAGCCTATGACTAGATTGTTAAGATTATATTTAATTTTGTTTTACAGTCCAAGACGCTGGAATTTAAAGTGATAAGAAGGAAATTATAAAAATCCTTGTTCAATTGGAAGGTCGCATGCCATTACTATTGTTTTCAAAATGACTACTCTTAGTTGTAGTGGATGAAATTTAGTTTGATATTAACTTACAACTTTGAACCACTTCGACAGTGCAGTTCTGAAATATTTCGTCTTAAACAACTATCATAAGTGTAAAAAACCTACTAAATCTACAATTTAAGTTAACTTTTCTTATTGCTAGTGATAAAGTAATTTGAATATTCATCATGGTAATTCTTGGCTGAAATCTATCTAACTGGCTGTAATTTACAATCCGTTAAATAAATAAATAGTTAACAAGATCTGTACCAGTATATCTAAATACATATTCACTAAATGATTAGTATGGTTACAGCTTTACCATTATTGCAGTAATACACCGAATAATTAGATGCTGATAAACAATAACCATCTATATTGTTGGAAGGTTACCCTATAAAGATTTATTATGTACTGAGTTTTATAACCTGTAAAATAACGATATGTCTACGTGACATTTCATAATTTTAACTCTATGGAAATCATAGCACCAATCACACAATGAATAATACACCGAGTTGACTTATTAATCGTTTATGAATCTCTGATTTACCCATTACGCAAGGTATACTAATCTTGAACCATCTGTTTTTATTCACAGTCTTTGAATAATATACTCAAATGAAGCTAATATAAAATAAATATTTTGACTGTATTCTTACCAAAAATCTGATGAACAGGCAATGAAAAGTGTGCATCTCTTAGATCTTTTGCACGTCGAATAGATTCCCAAGATGCATTCGGACGAGTTTGGAGGTATCGTTTCATCGCATTGACACAAACCTTCTTCATTGATTCCTGAAAATTTCAAAAACGGATTATTTAGTAAGCAGTTACTAACTAGAATGATTAAAACAATTTTCTTGTTGGGTGACTCCGACAATATTTCTCACCAATGAGAATTCTTTACATAGGTATAAATTTTAAAGCGTTCAGGGGTATGAAACAATATCATTCAGTTTTAAAATTACACTAAATATGAGCTGGAAATATTTTTCCATTTAGTTTAATGTAGATAGCCTAAGCTTTTTCTTGATAGGCTGAGTCGGTCAGATACAATATCACCTGCCCGCGAGCACATGACAGTTCAAGGCTAAATAACGGATAAGAGATGTTCATATGTCTATGATACTGGTTGAAGTTTAACTTATTTATCTGAGATATATACATATATTTATCTTGATCTCACTCTGTTAGCTGATTAGACTTACGAAAAGGAAGCTTGCATTTCAGTGCTAAAACCGGATGATTGCATAACATAACACCTTCAAATTAACTTCCACTATTTGGTGCAATCTTGAAACTCTTAAGAAAACAATATCTGATGAAAATACCTCCAAATCAGACAGACAAAAACATTTGTCAAGTTGAGCCGAAAACCATTTACACTTTGACAAAACCTTTGAAATAACACAGAGATATTAGATTGCTCGGTAGAAAGATAAAAACATTTTTACTTGATTTTTGGAATACTAAATTTAAAACTATATATATCACAGGTAACGTTTTTCTAATATGTACGAAAAACAAGAATTGTCATATAACTTTGATATGACACGTACAAGAGAAGAATTTTCAGATGAGATACTCTCAATACGAGCGGCCAGACTGCTCATAATGCTTCTTGGTGCTCTGCCAACACAGTCACTCTCCCATTCCACTTGTTTGTTTGATGATTGACATACTTTCCACTCTTTACCTAAAAACATGAATACATCTAATAGATAAGGTAACTCTTCGGGATCGACTAAAGAATAAGCAACCCCACGTCGACCAGCACGAGCGACACGACCTAAAAGATAAATATGAAATAATACTTAAAAAATAAAAGAAATAGATAACAATGAACAGTTTATTAAAGAACTTTGGTTATATTTTTACTATAGTCGTCACGTTTGTCATGGAGCCAGATATGTCTCAGAAAAACTACGTATGTTGATTTTTGGTACATAATTTCAAGTTGATGCATGATTTTATTGCTTTGGATCGCCGTGAACGTTTCCGATATGAATCTTCCTTTTGTACTATTTTGCAGACAACAAATTGTAGGACCGATTCACTCTAAATCTCATTATTCATTCTCAAAATAATATTTGAGCACAAAATGGGTTGGAAGAATGAGGAACGCAAAATATTGCACGATAATAAAACGATACGTAATCATTTTACACTTAACAGAAACATGCCCCCAAATGCCCTGGTACAGCTGAGAGTGGGGAGAGTCTGCTCTCCCTCTCCAAATGCTCTCACATGGCCAGCGAATATATGGCCTCTACCAGGGAAGTCCTACTCACTGCCTTCTCGTGGCATTACTGTTGTTTACGAAAGTGAGAGGACGAAAAGCGAATGTCCTGCGCTTTAACCGGGTTGGTGGACATGGAGGGTTCACCTAGGGGAGTTGGAAAACCCTGATTCCAAACCAATGGTGCACATGGGCTCCAGTATCCTGAGGGAACAAATGGCGTACGAATCAATCGTTGATCACCGGCTACCATGGGACTGCATCTCCTCACGATGCTCCACTGCCTTGTGGATCAGATTTTTCGGTCAGAGGCTCCGGGTGTGGCTTCCTAGGAAAACCACCTGTTTCAGTTTGAGCACCTGAGCAGTATCACAGCCCTCACACAAATCGAATGAGATTTGTGAGGCGCATATGTATCTGGTGCCTTCTTGTACCAATATTTATGTGTTTAAATAAATAAATAAATAACAGAAACATATAGGAAATAAAAAACAAAAAAATTATTACGATGAGCACGAAAAAGCCTTAACAAGGCAAGATATAAGTGGACATAGTGCCTTGGTGATAGAGAAAGTATGGATGTGTTTCCGACATTATAACCGATTGGCCTAGTTGTCAAATGTCTCTTAGCATCGATACGTTAGGGAGTCCGACTGAGGGATTGCGTGGCTTAGATCTACAGAAATAAATGAAAACAACGTAGTACCGAATCTTATCATCAGTTAGATAAATGATAGACGTTATTCAGATAAAATAATAAAAAGTTTAAATATTGTGCTTAGTAGTGAAGCGGAGTTTGCTATCAAGCTGTCTGAAAATTCTTTTAACGTACCTGCATTATTTACATTATAATAAATAAAAGTAGGACTTACCCACTCGGTGCAAAAAGAGTTTGGGCTGGGCAGGAAAATGGAAATTAATTACATTATCAAGATGAGGAATATCCACACCTCTTGCAGCTACATCTGTTACAAGTAGCACACGAGCAGTTCGAGAACGAAATTTCTTTAGAGCAAGATTTCTTGCGCTTGGATCAAGTCCTGAATGAATGCACGTACATCCGAAGCCAAGATCGGTTAATAACTGTACAAAAAAATGAGCTCATAAATGCCTTGTTATTCAAATTTTGACACGCGTATACAGACTTTTAGCGAAGAAATTATATCTAATAGTCTGTGATATATCATAGAACTAGACAGTGAGCGTTTATTTGACAAGTGTACATGTGTTAACAAAGTTTCTTTTATAGGCCTTTGAAGGAGCACTTTTCATAATAAGTAGGTAGGAACTTTTAGCCAACCTCACACTCAAACATATTCTGTTTATTACCAATCTTTATCCTTATTTTTTAGAAGTTATTTTATTTATACTGTGGTGTGCACTACTTATGTGGACAGACGTAATTAGTAAGTAGCAGGAATTGAAAGTGGAATGTCTACCAGGCGAAAATTGAAATAAGCAGAAAGACACATTAGAAGTGCTTTTGACATGTTGACCCAGAAAATAAACACAGATGATTACTTAGTACAACTAATCGTTGACGACTACTTTTTTCTAGCGATCAACTACTTAAGACATGTAAAGATGCATTGTCTTGACACTGACCACATAAATAATCTCTACTGTAGGTAGGAATGGACTACATTATCATCAATCTGATTGAGCACATGCAAATTGGATCTGCTGAATTGTTTTCTGGTGATAGTACAGTACAGCGAGTGTTAATGTATTTCATTTGATTGAAATTCAAAGCATTCATATACATAAATCATTTGACATTATTCTAAATACAATCAAACACGCAAGTTTATAACGAAACAAATCTTTAAAAATATTTGTTAGCGATCTGACAGTAAGGAGATTATGTTACCATAACACGAAAATTATATGTCAAGAAGCTTAGTAAAACAAAGCAAACCAATGTTGAAAAGCAAAAATTTGATACTACGCGAGTTACTTATCGAACTAAACAGTGAAAGTAAAACTTTAAAACAACCAGCCCCATATGTATGTACCTACCATTTGAAAGGATTCAACATGATGCTTGGTAGCAAAAAACACTACAGCTTGCTCATCCTTGTGTATGACCTTTCCCAATAAATGTACAATAATTACATTTTTCTCCTCTGGAAGGCAAGTTATGTGTGCTAACTAGGAATAATAAAAAAAATTTAGAACGGTATACAGTTTTTAATAAAAGTCAACATTTATGGAACTCAAAACATGTTCACTGGTAAATAATAGAAGGAAATGTGACAATACTAACAGAAACCTAGAACAGGTAAGCGAGTTCACAGATCTGACTCTACATGGAAAAACTGAATGTAAGAGTATCTTTAGGCCATAACTAGAGAATGTTACTATTTACATTTATGAACAAGTATTCAATCATATGGTACTTCAAACGCCTTTCACTATGACTTAACCTGATCGTAATGAGGCCTGTATATATTGGACCACTAGTCAATGCTGAGTGTAATGACTTTAACAAGTGTAACTTGTCATATGTTGTTTCATATTTGTTTCTTTCTCTATTAACGTTTAGTATGCATGTTTCATTTACGTTATATATTCTATTTCTGTAATACATATAGTGAAGTGTGTTCTAAAAACAGATTTGCGCAGAATCTGACTCAGCAATCTTATGAAAAGTGCTCGGATAAGATATATATAAGCGAAACAAAGCCCACAGGCATATGCGAAAATCAAATGAAGACTTTTTAAAGATGTTTCTATTCATGGGCATTGCCGGTTTCTCTACTTAGACCCTACTACGACTGGTGTGATGAACGGTAGATACCGAGTAACTACTCAAAATCAGTAATATTATATAACGAGTATGTAATAAATAAAAACAAATTAGTCCTCTGATAAGTAGAGCATATAATTAATTTGCAGATAGACGGAGAATCAATGGTAACACATAAAGCAGACTCATTGTTAATACTTATTTAAACTTGCTACGTACTTAACAAGCAAAATGAAAATGTCCAGATTAACAAATCGCCCTTGATAGGAAGACAAACTTTGAAAATAATAACTGGGAGAACACGATTCACTAAGGTTTTGCTTTCATTAACGAGGGCTCAGATGTTCTTGTTGTCAATATTAAGAAAAACTAAAAACTAAATAAGCTATTACTAGCCAGAGTAAACTCCCAACCCAATAGTTGAAGGATTAGAGTTTAAACCACTATGATGCGACTTCACATTAGGTACGTACTTATCAAACAGAAATAAGGCTAAACAATCTTAAAGATTAGTAAATTTTACTGAAATGAAATTGCTCACGAACCAAATAATTCACGTATATATGATCTACTAGGGTGTAAAGTGTAAGCTGAGAATTGAGATTCCTAATTAAAACCCATAGATTACTTTTGATTATTTCTTGCACAATGTTTTATGTCCCCATCCCTTTATTAAGGATACGTGGTTGCAAACCAACACAAACATTTTTACTAAATCTTACTTGTGATTTGTTCACCACTCAAAAAAAACGCTCCGACACAAATAGATCCGAAATTAATGTTTTAACAAGCAGTATGAAGTCAAATTAAATGTGACTAGGTGAACCATCAATATGAGTTTTAACTCCAGATGAGCGTTATTTAAAAGTGTATCTGAAAACTGAACAATAATTATTAGCAATCCTAATGAGGAAAATATTGTTAAGACGTGAATTCTAGTCAAACCGATGATTTGAAAAATTAAATAAACGCAGCTTCATATATTAATCCTAGTGCAAACTCAGACATATGTTATACCTTTAAGTCTTGACTCAGTTTAGAATGTAAGTCTAGTCGAAGTAGAATAGGATCTACTAGTCCAGCACGTGCAAATTCGACCAAGTTTTTAGGCAATGTTGCCGAAAATATTAGGGTTTGACGACTACGTGGCAGACGTTTCAAAGTTTCCGAAAGCTGTTCTGCAAATCCAAGTTCGAAAAGCCTAAAAAGGAAAAAATACTCCCAAAGTTAAAGAAAAAATAGAAGCAACGTTATTAGCTATGCATCTTGTGTCCACATTAAAATCCCGTAACAAGAACAATCAGAAACTTAGTAACATGTCATAAGAGGATATACCTTTATTTTTTAATTAGTGGGATTTATATGACATTAAGTACACCGAGATGTATGTGGCGGTATATCCACTATAATATACGGCCAACAAAGAAAACTATTGATAAAATAACATTCACGGAATGAAGTACTGATTTAGTTCCATTTTTAAAATAGGCTTTAAGACATCCGAAGATTCCAAATTTCGTGTTCTAAATGCATTTCCGTAAGTGATTTACAATTAGTCACACACCAACAACTGAAAGTCGGGGACTCTAAAATTTTCTGCCAAACCACTCAGCAGTCTTCATAAGATACTAGTTACAAGTGTCCATTGTATAATGTTTAACAAGCATAAGTACATGTTGTTACTAGCTACTTTGATGAAGTCATGGATCGACAGCCAAACATAAACAATGATTTATTAGTTGTTGAAGGACAATGAATTAAAATGTCGCCACCTCTTCAAGTTAATCCCGTACTCCTAGAGCAGGATTACTATGTGCCTTACGCAAAATGCGTAAATTATATATGAGTGAGAAATTAACGGAGCGATATGAATGTTAAGGAAACCTGTAATTGAGAGTGGCAGTAAGATTTCGTAAATAACTCGATTTGATTATAATTACCGAAAAATCTCTTATGAAATTGGTAACTATAGAATAAGTGGTTAGAAGTATGCACTTTAATTGCCTGGACGATGTGAACTTAATACATGAGTTTATTTATTTACTTGAACATGTAAACGTTGGTACAAGTTGGCATCAAATATGTGTGCCACACAATAACAATGAAGCCATTAGTAATTATTGGTTTATGTAGAGGCCTTATTACTGCTCAGGTATCCAAACCGGAGTAGGTGGTTTCTCTAGTGGGCCGCTCTGAGCATTTGACCTAAAGGGGATGCAGTCTCATGGTAACTGATGACCAATAATGGGTCCATACGCCATTCGTTCCCTTAGGATACTGGAGCTTATATGCACCATTGGTTTGGGATTGGATTTTTACAACTCCCCTAGGTGAGCCCTCTGTGTCCACAAACCCAGTTAGAGCACTGGAGATTCGGTTCTTGTCCTCTCAATTTCGTAAACAACGCCGCGAGAATGAAGTAAGGACTTCCCTGCCAATGGATGTATAGGCGTAGACATGTGAGAGCATTTTTGGATAGTATGATTATAGGATTACTTAACGAGTAATTGCTTCGAAAATACCAACACATCAGAATACTATTCGTAGAATCGATCCTTAATAAACTGAAATGCCTTTATCAACTGAAAAACTCCGCTGATAAAAAGTCTGAACACCTGCTTAAACTCAAAGCATTAACTTTGGTGTGAAACATGTCGGAATCAATACTATTTATCTGTAAACCGATGTATGAAAAACCACATATGATGTGGGATCAACAGGAATTCAGAGCATCCTGCATAGAGAAACATTAAAAACAACGGCTACTGAGACTCATTAGTTTCAATGATGGTATAATTCAATAAACATTGAAATTGTACTTGATACTGACAGTAAACAAAGCAGTCTTTGAAAATACATCTACGAAACATTTACTGGACAAAACATGAGACGCAAATGACCAGTTGATACAAATATGAACTAGCTTTTCTTTGAGGGACTTACCGGTCTCCTTCATCAAACACAACATATTCGATAGACTTTAGAGATAAGTTCATTTCCATTAAGATGTGCAAAAATCGCCCTGGTGTAGCAATAATTCTACAAAATGTCAATGTTTCCCAATTGACCTACATATCCGGAGATTTGTGAAGTGCTGCAAACTGTTCTTCCATTCTATACATACACAATTAAGTAATCTAAGAGCCTTACTTGTCACCTCCAAGAATTATTGTGGCCTTGAGAGGTGTAAATTTACCGAGCTAATTTACTATGCAAAAGAAAACAATAAGATTACCTCCTTTGTAAAATTCAAGGTTTGAATAGCCAGTTCTCTTGTTGGACTCATGATTAAGGCACGTGGACCGGCAGGTGAGTGGCATGGAAATTTTTCAAAAAGTGGTATCAAAAATGCTGCGGTTTTTCCACTCCCGGTGCGCGCCATAGAAACGACATCACGACCAGATAATATTATAGGAATAGCCTGGAGTGAAATAATTCAAAGATGCAGTACCTTTCTCTGAATTGGAGTTGGTATTTTGTAACCCTTCTTTATTATTCCGTTAAAAGTTGCTACACTGAGACCCATCGATTGAAAACCCCCAGCTTTTCTATTCTTCCTGTTCATTGTTTTTACGAGTTGCCTGGCCTCCGAAATGTCAAAATCATCATCAACATTATCGCACTCCATTATATTTCCTAGTTAGCACTGAAGTCGATCCCACATATAAGAGGACACAAATTGAAAATAAACCACGAGTCAGACCACTATTACTACTACCCTAACCTTGCTTTTGAAAAACGCCTTGAAGGTTCAGTGATTATCAAGGTCACCCTTCCAAAACGTCCACCCTAGTTTCAGCTTCAGTTTAAGTTGGGAAACGATGGAGAGGTCAGACAGCCTGTGTTAGTTTCGACAATAGTGGTCTCTCAGTTGACAAAACTCTCTTTGGAAAGCATCGACAAACGGAGCTCCAATCACGTGATAAGATAATGCATTCATTCTTTGCTGATCCAATGGAAAAGTCGATATTCACCTAACATCTCCAGCATATATCAAAACTGATGATGGTAGGAGAAAGGAAGGTCATTTATATACAGGAGAAACAACAAAGTCCCACAAACTGTACCCTGAAGCATTCCGCCAAGCAGTTTCCCGGCTATACAACTTTGAGTTCACCTGCACTCTTTGTTGAAGGAAGTCCTTTGTCCAAATAGACCAATTCTGTGGATGGTTGGACACACGTTGACAGGAGTAAAAAGGCCCAAGTGTCCCCGCCGAAGCTGAACATCCCAAGTACCATGCGGAAATCAACTGGTGACTTGGCCGCACAGTCTAACCCTAAGACTGTCCGCCCGGTGATCACTGAGCCCAGGAATCGAAAACGCGCTTCGACATCCAAACAACAGGGTACCAAACCTAGACGCCCTGGAAAACCTGGGAAATCAATTTTGGTTCGTGACGACTCTGTCATAATCATGAACCTTATTGACAACCCCGACCTTCCTCTCAGTATGCAGGACAAAAATGATAGGATGCTCTGGGGAGAATTGATCATGAGACTTGAACTCCCTAGAATAGAGCCTTTGACGGTCACACGTCTCACTCGGGGGAAGGACTCTAACCACCAAAACCACCCGAGGCTGCTTCGTGTTTCACTTAAGAATGCCTCCGACGTAGAGGACGTCCTGCTAGCTAGTCACTTACTGAAGTCCGATGGAAACGTAAGAAGACTGCCCGACATACCGTATTCTGAACGAAATCTTATCCGGAACATCCCTAAGGGATCTCGCAAGGCATTTTTCCGTGGAAGAAATATCATTGTGCAAGGTGCACCGGAAAATATGGACCCAACTCAAGCAAACTCTGATATTCGAGAATGGAAATTCATTAATCATTCCTTAAAACTCAAAAACATACTGACCCAACAGGTGATGCGACTAGCCAAGAGAGACGGAAACTCTAGACCCCGGCTATTGAAGATAACCTTCCCCTCCTACCACATAGCGCCTGCAACTCTGGAAGCATTTCGTGCCACCAGACGTCGGTTACCATTTGGCATCCAGACGCATCCGGATAGGCTCCACGACAGCAGGATCAAGCACAAGCGAAAGCTGGAGCTGACAATTCCACATGTGGACTGTCTTGATCATAAAAGAAACGTGTAAAGGACAGGAACTACCAACTCGGTAAACATTGTATAGGTAGGCTACCTGTCCACTCACGCGCGGCTCATATAGACACACAGGAAGAAGCTCACGCGTTCCAAATTGAAAGCATAAGCTGCTTATACACGAACGCCGCGAGTCTGCCAAACAAAATGGACGAGCTACGTAATCTTAGCAACGCTAATGATGCTCATCTGATAGGAATATCCAGAATTTAGATAACGTCTCAATTTACGGACCAGGAGATAGCTATACCTGGAATGTCTTTAATTCGCAACGGCAGGAAAATTGGAATGAGGGGTGGGGTGGCATTATACATACGATCATGCCTGGATGCTCACCAACTTCACAACCAAGAGTCTCTCAATCTTGATCAGTCAGTATGATGCTCAGTAAGAGTTTCTACCACCTCGAGGTGTCTAGTTGGGGTCATCTGCAGGAAGCCCACTGCCGACATCGAGTATGACAAACGTCTGTTGGAAGGATTAACTCGCTCTACGCGTTTCGGGTTCTCTCAAATCCTGATTCTAGGGGACTTCAATCTTCCTAGAATTAACTTCGTGGAACATACATACATTGGAGGTGACAACGCTACTGAAGCTGTTCTTCAACCTCATCGGTGACCTGAGATTATTCGAAGATATGAAGTCGGCAACTCGTTGGAGAAACAGTCAGACGCCGTCGCGCTTAGACTGGGTATTCACAAATGAAGACCTCCTAGACGACGACCTCTCAATCCTCGCTCCCCAGGGGAAAAGTGATCACGCTGTCCTATCCTTCAGCTTTGTCAGCAAAACGGAGCTACGATATCCCACTAGCAACAGGCGTTGGAATTTCAAAAGGTTGAATGTATTAGCTTTACACAACTATCTGCAACCGGTGGATTGGGATGTTCACCCTCAACTTGAAGTGAATGCTCATTGGGATTTTTTACTGCACATGATCTTATGTGCTACCAAGCATTCAGTTCCTAAAATGGTCCCAAAAAGCTACAAGCAACCTCCAATCATCAAGAACCGCACTCATTGTTTGCTAAGCCGCGAAAGGCACTGCTGGGCCGAATATAAACGAACTGACAATAACGACGCATACAGGCAATACAAACACATAAGGAACATATGTTCAAAGGCAATAAGAGAAGACAGGCTTCAGTACCAGCCCAAGCTTATCGATAAATTCGTTTCCAATCCGAAGAGCTTATTCAGTTACGCAGCTTATCTTCGACAAAGCAAAACTGGAGTTCCCCAACTGCTAGGTCCTAATGGTCTGACCAATAACCACAGTGATGCCGCTAACCTTTTGGCTGAACAATACTCTCAGACATTCCAGCCGACCCACATCAACTATACTGACGAAAGCTTCACCTGCACCTGTACATGACTTTCCGAAGTGGATCTGAGTGCTGACCTGGTGCTCCGTAAACTGCAGCACCTAAGAAAAGACACTTCTCCCGGTCCGGACATGGTTCATTCTGCTGTTTTGAGGGAAGCATCACCACTTAGCGTGATGTTTACATACTCGATAAGCAGAGGCAGGCTACCGGAAGTTTGGAAGCTGGCTCACATCACACCAATTTTCAGAGGAGGTCGACACAGTGAACCCTCAAGCTACCGACCAGTGGCTCTTCTCTCCACACCTTCTAAAATTATGGAGTCTCCAATATACGACGGTATGCAAGAATACTTATCATCTTTAAAGTTCTCACCTCAACAGCATGGTTTCAGAAAAGGTCATTCTTGTATGACCAACCTGCTGACTGTGGTGGATAGATGGACAACCATCGTTGATCGCAAGGTGAAGGTTGACATCATTTACCTGGATTTCTCAAAAGCTTTAGATAGGGTCAACCACATATGTCTTATCAATAAGCTTGCACGATTGGGTATAAACCCCCTTTGATTGATTGGCTCACTTCATATCTAGAAAACCGACATTTTAAGGTCAGGGTTGACTTCACTCTCTCTCAGGCTATGGTATGTCCTAGTGGGGTCCCCCAGAGTTCAATACTATGACCTCTTCTCTTCTTGATTTACATTACCGATCTTCCTCAACAATTTTCATCTGACTTATTGCTTTTTGCTGATGCTTTGAAACTTTGGAGAGAGATACGTAACCATAAGGATATACTGGTGCTTCAGGAGTATCTGATTCGACTTCAAAGTTGGGCAGACGACAACGCACTTACCTTCAACACTTCATAGTGCAAAGTAGTCCATCTGTGACATGTTGCAGACTATAGCTACAAACTTAGGTAACTTCTCTTTAGAAGTTTCCCAAGTCGAAAAAGATTTAGGAGTGTTGGTACACTACGACCCTAAGTCGTATGTGAACTGTGACAAAAACGCCTTTCAAGCAAACCTTCCACTGGTAACATTGAAACACATTTTTGGCCAGTTCGACGGTAGAACTTTCCACATTATCTTCAACAGTTTTATTCGTCCCTATTTAGAGTACGGAAACAGTATTTCCTCCCTACCTCCTAAAGGATAAGGACACTCTGGAACGTATCTAACGTCGAGCCACGAAATCAGTTCGGGGACTCAAATTCTAACCTTACGAAGAGCGCCTCCAATCACTTAACCTTTACCCGTTAGAGTACAGGCGTCTTAGAGGTGACCTTCTTATGACTTAAGGTATCCTTAACATTTCTATTCATCCCCTTTAACATCTTCTTAAGCTAAGTCACAACACTAACCTAAGAGGCGACACATAGAAACCGGAGACCCAACATAGCAGAACAGACTGCAGACACAACTTCTACTCCATAAGAGTAGTCAAGTGCTGGAATTCGCTGCCTACTGAGCTATTCCAAGCGACTTCTCAGTAGTCCTTTAAGAGGAAACTTGACTTATTCTTAAGGACTAAGGATAACATATTAATATGATCTACCAAATTCATTTTTTTCCTCCATTATCGTTCATATACCTAGGTTTTTGCCTGGATGTATTGGTGATCCACTGCTACTAGACACGGAAACCTGTTAAGCGAAAGCTTTTTCTATTCCGTCCTCAACCATTTGAACCATTTTGAACCATTCTCGATATTATGTAACTTGTATAACAGCCGGTTGTGAGGAACTTCGTCAAAAGCCTTGCTGAATTCAATGTAAACGACATCTATAGGTGACTTTCGGTCTTTTAGAGCATACCAACTTTCATAGGCTACCGATAAGTTTGCGAGACATAAATCATCTGTTCTAAAACCATGTTGCTTTTTAGAAAGAATCCGACTTTCACCTAGATACTTAACCAACTCCTTCCGAATAGTCTTTTCCAAAGTTTTAACAACCACCCCGGATAGGTTTACAGATTGGTAGTCCCAAAGTTTGTGTCTTGTACCTGTTTTGAAGAAAGGACTTCCTACTGTATTATTCATGTCTTTTAGTAATCTACCCTGGTTTATAGATGGATTAAAACATGTGCTTAGATGATTCGAGACAAAATTTGTTAGTTCCTTTAGTAATCTAGGATGCGTTTCATCTGGTCCCATGGATTAACCTAGAAAAAGCTCATTAACAGACCGAAGACATCGAGTTCTTTAATGGTCACGTTGTTCAATGTGTGTGTAGGGCTGTGCACTAACTGAAGGAGAGGGTATCTCCATGGTGAATATATTGCCAAAGTGATTTGAGAATAC